GAGAAAAAAAAAAGTCAGGATTCTGCGAGAAAAAAAAAAGTCAGGATTCTGCGAGAAAAAAAAAAGTCAGGATTCTGCGAGAAAAAAAAAAGTTAGGATTCTGCGAGAAAAAAAAAAGTCAGGATTCTGAGAGAAAAAAAAGTCAGGATTCTGCGAAAAAAAAAAGTCAGGATTCTGGGAAAAAAATTCAGGATCCTGGGAAAAAAAGTCAGAATCCTGAGAAAAAAAAGTCAGAATTCAAGTTCAAGAAAAATTATTGAAAATTTGGTTTAGATTACTAGAAAAACAAACAAAAAAAACAGCTTACAACTACAGGACCACGAGCGGACTAGCAAGTTCTTAAATTAAGGAAAATGTTCATTAAAAAAAGAATAAGATATTTTTGACAATTCTCTGATAGAATAAAAAATTTAGGGGGCAAATTCAATACAGGATTTGTTTCTGACTGACACACTAAACTGTGTTTAAAAACATATCTGTCAACATGATGCATCTGCTAAAAAAATATTCATCTTTTGCAGTTAAACATTAAAATTATCAAGAATTTTGGAGCAGCCTAAAAGAATTACAAATATTTAAACGGTTGCGTTTTTGTTTTTATTTTCTCATTGTGTCATCCTTTTCTTTTCAGTTATCCCTGTAATTAACTGAATTAAATTTCATTTCAAATTGACTCTTAGTTTATTTACTGTTTTTACTGTACTTTTTGTTTTAAAAATATCTTTTAAAATCATAGTCCTCAAACACCCTCATTCACATTTTCCCCTAAATTATCACAATATGAAATACATTCACATTATTTTTGGCTGCATCTAAAATGATCAAAGATGTTTTCAATTTAACCAGAGGTATGAAATGATGTTACGGCTACTCTTGCATCAAAATGGTTTCCAATAAAAAAGAAAAATCAAAAATTGCCAGAGTAGTCTTAGAAAAAGGTTTTTTGACTCACAAAACAAAAAGCACTCATGGAGAATTTTCTTGTTTCAAAAGGGGGTGTTTTCTTTACTTATAAAAATAACAGAAATATTCTCCGAGTTGACTTACAAAAAAATTCAAGTACAAAAGTTAAGTGGTGTGTGTGTGTGAAAAAACTGTTGCACTCTTCATTCCTTCACACAAATAGATCCACCTCAGCAGCTACTTCTACTTGTTTATCTCAGCAGGAGGCAGACTGACAAGGAGGAGGGTCTAAGCAAAACCAATACATAAACAAATAAACAATAGCTCTACCATTCACACAGCCTTAGATCTGTAACATTAATAATTAAGAAAAATAAATAAATCTAATTCTTTATAGGCTCCAACAACAATATAACCTCCAATAATTTAAATTTTAGAATTGTACTAGGTCATCAAATCAATTGAGTTTAGTCTGTCAAATCAGCTGCCTGTAGTGTCTTTAAAGAACCAGCAGGTGTCACTATTCTGTGAGCCATCATGAACGCAGTATAGCTACAGTTTGGCAATGTGTCGAAACACTTCAAAATGCCTCATCACTATATAAAAGTAAAAAAAAAACACAAATTGTTTTTAGTGTAATCTCTCATCTCAAACAGTTCAAGTTGAGCATTAAACTAAGGAGAGCTGTGTTTGTTAAATGGAGCAGAATAACCCTTCAGGGCGAATCGGACGCTGCCTTCAATCCTGTGACAGGCGGATATAATACTTCCGGTTCGGACCGCAGGTGGACGGACATGATGGACATGTGTTCGATCTACGATGAGCACCCTTAATATTTGTAATCATTAGTTGAGGGCGGCTGGTGACGATTCAAAGCGCACTTTTCACTCTCTTCCGGCTGTTTGTCACCATGACAACAGAGCAGATAGCGGATGGTTGTATAACGCACGCCCTTTGTAACGACAGGTGCAAACTGAAGTAGGCATCAAACAGAGTTTACATTACTGTGCTACAAATGCTACAAAAAAGGCGCTTTCAATGTCCAGCTCATATTCAGCTTTTCATTTCCTAAACTTTACGATCCCATGAATTTTCTGGAAAAGGATTTCATTGCGGGGAGGCTAAGTTACCCCACACCCCTTACGCTTGGCTTAGTAGAGGAGCCCTCCCTGTTCCAGCCTTATTTGGTTAAACTCACCTGTAAATCTGCCATCTTCAGTGAAGGGAGCAAGTTTGAGCAAACTGACGACGTGTAAATGAGTGAGAATAGGCGGAAGCCCAGCGTCCCTTCCTTTATTCATCTAATAACGGGGGCTAAAGTCCAGACACGCCTTCCGCGCGTTTTTTTTACAACGTAACTTTATTGCTAAAATTGTTGTTTACAAAAACACAAGTAACACCGAAGACCCCAACTTAAGCAGACATGGGCCCTGTTCGAATTCATGGGCTGCGTCCTCCAAGGACGCGATCTACCTAGACTGGATCCTTCGAAGTCCTTGAAAATAGGGAGACCGGAAGAGTTTTGGCTGTGAATTCAGACAGGTCAACCCTTCAGCGAGTTTTACCGCCGTAGGCTATGTTGTTTAGCAACCGTGACAGTTTAGACACAAAGTAGGAAAAGACTGAATACTGAAGTTTTCAAAACTGTTTGTTTATTTATTTATTGTAAAGTGAACAAATACTACACTCACGAGAATCCAGAGTGGAATAAAGGTTCCAACCACTGGGAGCATGAACAAATAAATTCAAATGTAATGATAGAAACGTTAGTCAGTTAAATAACATGCTGCTGCCATTACGCACATCTCTGATGTTGCTGCTATTTTCAAATATCCATTACTGTACAAATGTCTATAGCTGTATATTGGTTATTTATTCTCCAGGTACACAGTTTAAATCGTTAAAACACTTTACAGAATTGTATTGTTTATATTTTAACTATTCTCTATTATGTTATTCTTACTGTACACATTTTTCTAAGGTCCACATTTGTGTGACCATTTTCAATAATCTTTCTGCTGATGTAAATTTGCCCATTGTAATAATAATAATAATAATAAATCCAATTGTGGGACAATAAAGGGATTTTCTATTCTATAAAAGGGGTAGAAAAATCTCTAATATTCAACAACAAAATATTCTTAGTTCAGCATATTGTGCAAAACAGCAATGAAAATTTTTAAATCCTATCAGATTTATAGTTCCCACACTGCAGATATTTGATTTTGTCCTTAAATTATAGCCAAAGTCATTTACACAGTAACATATAAAACCTTTAGATAAACCTAACCTTACCGCCACATATCTGCCTCAATAACCATTAAAACAACTATTTTCATTCATTTCAGACGGAACTATTCACAGACTTGTATCATATTAAACTGAACTTTCACCACTGTTCGGCGCCAAGTAACCTTTCCTTTGATAACGGAGCAGCCGGCTGGATATGAAATAATATGATATGAGGATATGAAACCCTCTCTGTAATTTTTTTTTTTTCTTTGAGCTTCACTTACTGACCTCTGGACTATGGTTACAGCATGAATCAAAATCTTTCTATTATTCACCACCCTGGCTGACTTGATTTGTCCAATTTCCTTAACTGCTCTGGTTAATTTAATCGGATGGAAAATTCCTTCCTCTTGTTTTAACTCAACTGCCACTTTTCAATCCCCTTCCCCATTTGCTTGTACTTCCTGTTTTTGGACTTGCATTTTTTTTTCCTTTACTCTTGCCTCATGCCCATCCTACCAACGTCTAGCTCTTTCCTGTCTTGACCTCCTTTCTCTTCTTCTTCTTGAAGATCTAGACATCAGTCATTCCATTTCCTTTCCACTTTTTCCATCTGAAGTGGAAGCCATAACGCTGCATTCAGAGTACAGCTTGCAATCCACCAAAAGTGATCACATTCTGACTCCTTCAGGTTACTCCTCTATTCCAAACACTGCTTGGGTCCCAGGCCCTGAACTTCAAGTACTTCCATTTGTCAGGCAGGTCCTTTTCAAATGATTTCTTGATTAAGAACAGGTGTGGCAGGAATCAAGCCTAGGCGTGGTGAACTCAAGAGTAATAACTATGTTCTAACTGTTATGAGGAACAGTTTTTTACACATGTAAGTTTGCATTTTTTTCTCCCTTCAAACAGTTTTTTTTTGTTGTTGTTTTTTTTTTTTTACATGAAACACTGAGAACAGACTGTGGTCGATTGTGTCCAAATCCCACATATTTGGCAGACAGTTTAAAGTGGTAAAGAGACCTGATTTTATGAGTAAATCTACTGAATATTATGGTATTTTAGATACAGGTGATACTGTATTCATGAGATTTGGAATCTAATAAGTCTCCCCTTATTTGTAGTCTTGAAAATGATGGCAGTGAGACCATATTTTCGTGGAGTTTATGGTCTCTAACATATCTTATGCTTAGAAAAATTTACAGAAAATCCAAGAAATTAGTAAAAATATATAATATAATGTACCATTGTAATATTGATGCTGTAGATGTGTGTTGATTTTTTTTTCTCTCTAACTTTCTTTGTTTTCTTTTGTTTACTTCTCCTGTCATGTTCTGTTCCTCCTCATATCATGCAATGTTTTATCACCTTGTCTAAAGAATTATAAAACATAAAAAAAAACGGTTTGCACATCATAAAATTGTTTTATTTCAGTACAGGAAAAATAGCTCGCATGCACACCCTCCGCCACACCGTTAGATGGCGACACTACCGAGTCAAATCCACTGCTGCACACTGTTTCATTTGATCGATTTGTCCGGTCTGAAATATTTTTGACAGTTCTATTTTTTCTGCTTTTCACAAAGGCAGGGGCTCGTTGTTACATTTTTAAGCTCATGTGCTCTTCTGAACAGACGGTTGTTAAATACTATCTTGTCGGAGGGGCATGGAGGTCCCAGCTGTAGTCACAGTTCGCCTCATCAGGTCGTTTGAACAAAGAAACTTTAAGCCTGTAGTTTTCCAGCAGGTCAGCCTGGAGCAGACCGTCCAGGACTTCATGCGCTGTGTGAGAACCGGTAGGTCTGTGCGGAGGAGGAACCCTGACTATAAATACATCATCCTCACGCGACAAAAACAGGTTTAAGTCCAAAACATTTTTGGCAGTCAATAATTTTATGCAGGTTTAACTAATCATCAACTAATCATTTAAAATCAATTTTGTTAAAATCATCAGTGTTGTATAAAGTACTGAAATCTCGGAGTCAAGTAAAAGTATAAGTACCTCTCCAAAATATGACTTTGGTAAAAGTCCAAGTCACTGAATGAAATGTTACTTGAGTAAAAGTCTTAAAGTATCTGAAATGGCTTGTACTTATAAGAATTACTGTAATAATAGAAGTACACAAGTAATGTAGTGAAAAGTACAA